TCACCTCCGGCACCCCGTGCCTAAGCCCACCTTCGGCACCCTAGTGCCCAAGCTCACCTTCGGTACCCCCGTACCTGAGCTCACCTTCGGCGCCCCCGTGCCTAAGCCTACCTTTGGCACCTCCATGCCTTGCCACATGCAAGCTTGTTTCGCCTTCGGCATCTTCTTACCTAAGCCCACCTTCGGCACCCCGTGCCCTTCGGCATTTTATATTGCGACAAGCAAGTCTCATGCCTTCGGTACCCTCGTGCCTAGCCACTTAGGTTAAATACTACACTGAAGGACTGCTCTGGGTTCTCTTGTACTATTTTTCTGGTCCCCCATCATGGACATGGTAAGACATATGTAATATGGACTTCAGTTATTTACTTGATATTGGTATGAAAAGTAGCGTTACATTACATTCACTGCAATATCCTATCAGGTTTTATCCTTTCCATTATTCGCCATTTGCTTCCGACCTAAAGGGCCTTGGTCAAGTGAAACCTAAGTTTGAAAAAGGTTCCCCATTCTTACCTATCGATACTCTCATGGCTAAGTTCTCTGCCCCTTTTCAGTTCTGGAATTAGTGGTTTTTTACGTCTTCATGAGAATGCTTCCAGTGTTAAAGGAGGAGATCATAAACTTCAAGAAGACTCTATCTTGTGAGTAACCAAACTAACGAGTCATTAATTTTGATCTTGTAAATGTTTTGCTGTCCTGAAGGATAAGTTTTATGAATTTGATTATGTTACAGATGTGTGCGATATGAGCTTCCAAACGATGGTCCAAATGTGCCTCGTTTACTTGCTGGTGTAGAGTTTCCCGTCAAGGTATCCAAACTTTCAGAATTTGCAATTATTTTCATGAGCTTGAATGGTCTCATGCATATATGTTTGTTTTCGAATCTGTTTAATGTGATGGTTTACCTGCTCTGCCACTGCGGATATGATTAGTTCCTTGCTAGCACTGGCTTAATGAGTTTTTGGTATTCTAACTACATTGTTGGGATGCATTTTCGAGTTCAATAGTTAAATGTCCTCACTCCCTAATATACTGTCCTTCAACTAGCATAAGAGAAATTCAGTGGCATGTTATAATTAAGCCCAATTTGTAACATGTTCCATCTACATTTGCAGACAATCACTGAAGACGATCTTATGGAGACAAAACTATGGCACGAATATCAGGGAAGCACATCCAGCTCCAGGTTCTTTGGCTTCTTGCTCTGTCTTCCATTTGTTATTCACATCTATATCTATGAATTTCTCTTTAAACTCATTGTTCAAGAACTAAATGCAATGCAGCAGTCACCTTGTTCAGGAAAGGTTTAGCAAACCAGATAACGTGGGAAATCGAGGCTTCCGGAACAATGCTAGATTCACTTCTAGCTCTCCGAATATGATACACAAATTTTCTGGCACTGGATGGGGTTGTGGTAGAGGGAAAGCAATTGCAAGTCCTGATTTTGGAGACCGATTTCATGCTCCAGGAAGAATACCTTGTGAAAGAGTAATGTCATCTAGCTCATATTCAGTGAACGGTGCGGTAGCATACAAAAAAGCCTCTCTTAATGAGACACCTGTTTGTAATGAAAAGTGGAGAGTTGCTGGTTCTGGTTCAGGAGATCAAATACGAACCCTTAGGGATTTGAAAATATCGAAGTCGTCATCAAGCCAGGGCTGGAGGCCTAATGGAAGAGTTCAGTCAGCAAACAATGTTTTCTGGCCATCTAGAAATGGCTTCACACCTGACACAGACTATGCTTGGCAACATGGTCAGTGCCGCGGTAGAGGCCATCAGGACTCCTCGAAGCATCATTCACCTTTTGTTGCTAACCGTTCATCCCAAGCCAGTGGGAGTACGCACTTTGTTCCACGTAGTTGGGATACTGAAGGTAAGCCCCGCTGGTAGCCAGTTAACACATAGCTCTCTTTGCTTGGCTGCCAAAAGAGCGAGAAAAGCACTGTTTTGTACACATATTTTGTATTTTACGGCTGAAGGATGAAGAATTTTCGATCTGCTAGCTTTTTCCCATGCTTCACAATTTCTGGAATTCCATATTTTTGGTAATTAAGCAGGGCATTCTACTCAAGAATCAAATAATGTTGGGCTAAATGTATAAGATAAAAAGCTGCAGGCCGTTCTTGTATTAACAATTTTTGGCAAGATAAAAGTCCTTAATTCTTCAGTGCCGCTTCATCAGCATCTGCAATTCATTTATAGGTTGCTTGTTTTACCTAAGTTTCATTTCATCTTTTGAAGGTTCATAAAGATTTCTATTCCTAATATACCACACTCTAGACTCTAATCTAATGGCTCCGAATGACATGATCGCCACTCAATTTGTTTTTCCATTTCATTTTAGAATGTCGTCTCAATGTTTAGGGTTTAGGGTTTAGTCGCAACCCATGCCCAATTGTATTGGTGCTTTCCAAAGATCCTGCCCCTGAATTATGTCAGAGTATATTTGTTAGCAATAGTCAATTAATGTGTTAATTATGTAGTAAATTAATGTGTTAATTATGTAGTCAATTAATGTGTTAATTATGTAGTCAATTAATGT